ACTTGTGGATTATTGTGATGTTTTTATAACCTGTTTAATCTCTCATTCTGATAGCACCCATTCACTGCACAGGATCTATTGGTGAGCAAGTGATGCAATGTTTAATTTCTCCAAATCTGTTCCGCTGAAGAAACAAACTCATCTACATCTTGGATGGCCTGAGGGTGAGTAAATTTTCCGCAAATTTTCACTTCTGGGTGAACTATTCCTCTAAGTAATAAGAAACTGACCAAATCTGTGACTTGGCAGCATGAGTGAACAGAATAAATGCAAATCTAATAACTGTGAATCTGGTTTTAGCTTTAAAAAAAAATCAAGTGTATGACCATTGATCAAGTGGTTTATCACCAAAGATATTATAGTCAGGTTAACAAGAGCAAATGACTTGAAACGTATCATGGTGAGTCACTCATGTCATTATGGAAATCCACCTAAGGCATCTAACGTTCCACATGAAACACATGTGATATTTACATAGTGATTCTGCCTGCTGCATTCGGACCTTTTTAAATGCATATTAAAGAACCGACCATGGTGATCAAAGGTGTGGGAAAAAAATATTTTATTGGTAAACAATTACTACACAGATGGATATGAAACATCAAGACAATATGAGGCTAATAGCACATCAAAAGACAAAGTGAATTACACACAGATCCATAGCAGAGAGAAAGAGAGAGGGGGAGAGAAACAGGTGAAGCACAGATCACAAGCTATAGATGAAAGCAGAAGGGGGGCTAGAAAAGGACCAATGTCACATGGGCTGGGTAAACAGTGGCTAAAGAGGTTACACTACCTTGTTTTAATCCACCATCCTGTGTTAATGTTAGGTAAAATAACAGTGTCCATCTGACTCGAGCCTCTTTGCTGATGCAAGCAGACTGAAAAACCTCACTTCAACAGCTAACTCATAATTCGGCATGTCCCACTGGAGAATCTGAAACTCTAAAATCTTCGGTTCTGGACAGAGATTACATTCAATCTGTCAGTATGTGCCCATTGCAACATGGTCCAGTTTAATCCAATAGGCTCATCGCCCACTCTTTGTTTCTCTCCATAAAAAGTGCATTGTTGTCCTAGCAGTGGCATTAGGCACGCAAGCCATGCGGTCAGTGGGAGCCAACCCAGCTGCTGACACAGGGCTGGCTGGAACAGTGCTCAGTATTTGACGAAGGGAACACAGAGCACCGAGCAGCTCTATTCCTGCAGTGTTTAACATATTTCAGGGAGGGGGAAAATGATTTCTGCTATTTGAACCTTTAAAGTATTTAAAAAGCAATACCTACAAGATCTACAGCTGTGTAGCTTTGAGACAAACTCAGCAAGCAAGTATTATGGTGCATGACGAAAAAATACTGATCAGGTGCATGGAACTACTGTGACTCTCTAGCTGGTGAGATAGTTCAAAAAGATATAGGGGAAACTGAAGCAAGCTGTCACACCTTTTGCAGTAAATATTTCATTATTTATATAATATTTCGTAATATATCTTCTTTTGCGTGCTTGTGTGTGTGTGTGTGTAGACACAGACTGTACCTTAAAATTTGGGCTATAAAAAGCTATTGACATTTCCACTGATGTTGATTATCCTGTAATTACTAAATTGTATAATTGTGTAACATTTGAATAAAAAATGACCAATGAAAAAAATGTGACAACTTGCCCGTTATTACTAAATTGCATAAATGTATAACATTTGAATCAAAAAAGGCCAATGAAAAAATGTGGCAACTTGCCCCAACCTGACATTTATGAAGAATAGCCTTGTCCTATGAGCACAGTTCAACCTTTTGGGTGAAAATGAATTTCATTACATAGCTAACTGAATAACTGTCAGGGTTTTGCCCTGACACTCTGGTTGTCTTGTGTTTTGTTTCTTGTGTCTATGTTGTCTTGTGTCAGCACATGGCCTAGTTGATTATTTTTCTCAGCCATGTGCTTCTTTAGCCCCTCCTCCTGGTTTCCTCATTACCACATCCTCTTGTTAGCCCTCATTGAGTCCTTGTTAGTGTAATTGCTCTCACCTGTTCCTTGTGTGTTTTCCTCCCTATTTATAGTGCCCCTTGCCCTATTGTCTTTGCTGGTTCGTGGTCATTCTTTTCCTCACTGTGTTTGTCTCGGTCTGTGGATGTGGCTGATTATGTGTTCCTGTCTCACTGTCTGTTTGATCTTGTGCTCTAGACTTGTCTCTTGTAATTCTATGTTCTTGTCTTGCTCCTTGTTTTTGGATTTGGTCTGTTTTTGTCTGTTTGCTTTTATTTTAGTATTAATTTAGTTATCTTAGTCCTGATCTTTTATTTTCATTTATTGGTTGATATTTTAGTTATTCGTGTTGGTTTAATTATTTTTACCTTTTTTATTAGTCGTTTTGTTTATTCTAGGGCTGCATGATAAATCGCATGCTATTATTTAACTCGCATCTTGTCAGTAAAGCCGGTTCAGTAATCAGCGGTAAATCTCCATCACCTGCGGGCTTTCACATTGAGCAGCATTAACTACACAGAGCCGTTGTTCACTGACGAGTTGAGCAAAACTGACCTGTCCTGTCCACTGGTTCCCTTGCCTGGCGTCTGGGGTGCTTCAGAGTTATGGTCAATAAGTATCTGAGCTCAGCTCTCTGGTGCCTTGCTCTGGTCTCTCCACCGGCCTGGTCTTGCCACCTCCTCTGCTGCTATAGTATTCTGCCAGTTGATGTCTGAGGCTGTTCCAGTGGCCTTCCCTAGCTATCTCTGTTTACTGTGTTCCTGTTGTGGTATCACCTGTGCACCTCACAACCCTTTTGTATTGATCTGTTTTGTCAATAAACCCTTGTTACTCACACTGCAATTGGGTCCTCCTTCCAGATCCCTGACAATAACTGAACACAGGTCTGAATGTATGCTAGTGTGGTTTCATTTTACTTTTTACTTTATGCTGTAGCAAAAAATATATATATATTTTTTGCTTTATTTTAATTTATATTGAAACATATCACATATCAAATTGATTTAACTATTTTTGAGAACAGAATTCACACACACACACAACTAAATCTAAGACTAAATCTAAGGAAATCACCATCCCAAATTACTGCCAGAGAAAATACATTTTGGACGTTTGACTCAAAACCTTATACTTACCTAACTACAGTGACAAGTATACTTGGTCTAACCTATAGTATTTGCGGCGCATGTCAATAAAATAAAATTTTTGAAGAATTCTAGTTTGACAGTAATTCAGCATATATCTTATCGCATGTATTGGCTAATAAACCAGGAAAATGCTACCAATGGAGGGTGGTGATGAGCAGAGGGTTTTGTTTGCGGTAAATCAGACTAGCTCCTCCTTTTAAACCCACCAACAACTGCCCCTCATTCTAGCCCACCTCTCTCTCTCTCTCTGTGTGCATGGACTTCATCCTAGGTAGTTCACCATTCGAACCGCTGCGCTCCAATTTCTCCGTCTCTCTCGCTCTCTCTCCCCGACTGCGTTCACTTCCTTACTTTAAGCCCTCACTCTCGCGCTCTCTCCTCCTCTACATCCTCAATCTCTCAGCAGCAGCAGTTTGTGTCCTGAGAGAACTGGCACCAAACTGACGCATCCATGGGGCGCGCGCAGCATCTTTATTTCCCCACGTTACAATTTGAGGTCATATAGGCTAGGTGGAACATTCACGTCAACGCAGCAAACACACTTGAGTCGTTCGGCGTTTCATCTTCCGGCTTAAAACTCTCAGTCGCACCATATCTGCTTGTATTTGTGACATTTGTAGCTGTGTTGAACTGTGGTGATGGATGGGGATGCGTGTGTTCGCGTGTGGACTCGACCGCTGCAAGTGATGCTCCAGCATTCTTGTCTTGCTCCTTGTTTTTGGATTTGGTCTGTTTTTGTCTTTTTGCTTTTATTTTAGTATTAATTTAGTTCTCTTAGTCCTGATCTTTTATTTTCATTTATTGGTTGATATTTTAGTTATTCGTGTTGGTTTAATTATTTTTACCTTTTTTATTAGTCGTTTTGTTTATTCTAGGGCTGCATGATAAATCGCATGCTATTATTTAACTCGCATCTTGTCAGTAAAGCCGGTTCAGTAATCAGCGGTAAATCTCCATCACCTGCGGGCTTTCACATTGAGCAGCATTAACTACACAGAGCCGTTGTTCACTGACGAGTTGAGCAAAACTGACCTGTCCTGTCCACTGGTTCCCTTGCCTGGCGTCTGGGGTGCTTCAGAGTTATGGTCAATAAGTATCTGAGCTCAGCTCTCTGGTGCCTTGCTCTGGTCTCTCCACCGGCCTGGTCTTGCCGCCTCCTCTGCTGCTATAGTATTCTGCCAGTTGATGTCTGAGGCTGTTCCAGTGGCCTTCCCTAGCTATCTCTGTTTTCTGTGTTCCTGTTGTGGTATCACCTGTGCACCTCACAACCCTTTTGTATTGATCTGGTTTGTCAATAAACCCTTGTTACTCACACTGCAATTGGGTCCTCCTTCCAGATCCCTGACAATAACTGAACACAGGTCTGAATGTATGCTAGTGTGGTTTCATTTTACTTTATCTTTACAGCTGTAGCAAAAAATATATATATATTTTTTGCTTTATTTTAATTTATATTGAAACATATCAAATTTTTAATTGATTTAACTATTTTTGAGAACAGAATTCACACACACACACAACTAAATCTAAGACTAAATCTAAGGAAATCACCATCCCAAATTACTGCCAGAGAAAATACATTTTGGACGTTTGACTCAAAACCTTATACTTACCTAACTACAGTGACAAGTATACTTGGTCTAACCTATAGTATTTGCGGCGCATGTCAATAAAATAAAATTTTTGAAGAATTCTAGTTTGACAGTAATTCAGCATATATCTTATCGCATGTATTGGCTAATAAACCAGGAAAATGCTACCAATGGAGGGTGGTGATGAGCAGAGGGTTTTGTTTGCGGTAAATCAGACTAGCTCCTCCTTTTAAACCCACCAACAACTGCCCCTCATTCTAGCCCACCTCTCTCTCTCTCTCTGTGTGCATGGACTTCATCCTAGGTAGTTCACCATTCGAACCGCTGCGCTCCAATTTCTCCGTCTCTCTCGCTCTCTCTCCCCGACTGCGTTCACTTCCTTACTTTCAGCCCTCCCTCTCGCGCTCTCTCCTCCTCTACATCCTCAATCTCTCAGCAGCAGCAGTTTGTGTCCTGAGAGAACTGGCACCAAACTGACGCATCCATGGGGCGCGCGCAGCATCTTTATTTCCCCACGTTACAATTTGAGGTCATATAGGCTAGGTGGAACATTCACGTCAACGCAGCAAACACACTTGAGTCGTTCGGCGTTTCATCTTCCGGCTTAAAACTCTCAGTCGCACCATATCTGCTTGTATTTGTGACATTTGTAGCTGTGTTGAACTGTGGTGATGGATGGGGATGCGTGTGTTCGCGTGTGGACTCGACCGCTGCAAGTGATGCTCCAGCAGAAGAAGATCAAAGCGCGGAGGAAAAAGCGCAAGGAGTTGTTCGGAGGACAGATGTGCTTCGTGGGGCTGCTGCTGTTGGCGGTGTCCTGCTTGTCCAGTTTGGTCGAGAATTCCGGTGAGTTTCGGTTCAGGATTTGTCAGGAATGCGTGTTTGTGAAGGCGGAGGGGGGTAATGGAAAGTTTTACGGGAGAATCATACTCGCACTCTAAACTGTTTTAGTTAGAGAACCGTACTCGCACGGAGTCAAAGGGAAACATGCAGAATCACACTGAACTTTTCAATAATATATGGTTCTCTAAAACTGTTAAAGTTTACAGAATTACACAGCTGTTTTAGATCGTACACTGCTTAAAGAGTCAGATAGCCTACACTCACCGCCTTGAGATGCGTACTTAAATCTGTTAACTATTTTAAAGAATCGTAATTACACAATTAACACTTTCAGAGAACTGTATACTAGCATATACTAGCACTATGAACTGTTTAAAGAGCAAAACGTAACTGCTAGAAAACTGTAAACCATATTAACCGCTGTCAACCATACTCACACAATGAGCTGTTTTTACTGTTAACTATTATTATTATAAAGAACCGTTCTCACAATGTTAACCATGTCAAGGAAAACCGTACTACCATTAGAGAACTGTACTCAACCTGTTAACCATATTAACAGCCATACTTACTCTATTAACCGTTTTAGAGTGGTGTAGTTATTGTTAACTCTATTAAAGAAACATATATGTAAGTATACTTACAATATTAACTGCTTCGGAGAAATGTAATAGCACTAGAGAACTTAACCGTTTAAGTGAAACATACTCTACAATTAACTGTTGTAGAGCACTGTACTCAAACTGTTAACCACATTAACAGCCATCCTCACACTATTAACCATTTTAGAAAGGTGTAGGCCTACTTAAGACTGTTAACTATATTAAAGAACCATATATTTACAATATTAACCGTAATAGCACTGGCTAACCTAACTGTTTAAGTGAAGTATACTCTACAAATAACCATTATAGACAGCTGTACTCACACTATTAACCATTAGGGTGGTGTACTTATGACTGTTAACTATTTTAAAGAACCACACTCACAAAATTAACTCTCTAATCAATTTTAGAGGACTGTTAACCATTTAAGTGAGCCATACTCTACAATTAACTGTTCTGGACAGCTGTACTTATACTAACCATATTAGAGAGGTGTACTGATGACTGTTAACTATATTAAAGAGCAATACTTTAATTACTTTAATTTAATTACAGTTTAAGACAGCCATACTCTCACAATTAATTCAGAGATATCCATGTACTCGCATTATTAATAATTTTAGAGAATCATACTCACACTACAAGCTATTTTAGAAGTCAATCATACTCACACTGTTAACTGTTTAATTTCACCTTTAGATTCATTTTACATTCAAATTATAATCTTGTTAGTGTTAACAAGATTGTGGTGTTGATGCATTGAGTGGATTGCTATGAACTTCTGTCTTTAATAATAGACTGATCTGTTGCAAGGCAGTTTTCCCCTGCAGTGCTGATAAAGTTTGTGTTCTGATCCATAATACATGGATTGTAGTAAGTCTGTGGTGGTTTACCCACTGATTCACAAGCACTGAAGGAATTCATTAGTACTGAACATAGATTATTGTTAACTGAAACAGGGATCACTGATGATCAAAATCATCTACTTATATTATAACATTATGTGCGTCACTAATTTGTTAAAACTTTAGCCAGGACGATGTGGCAGTCACTCTCACAGACAGTAACAGTGTCTGTACCTATTTTCTCAGGCTAACATGTTAAAAGCACTTTATCACTTATGTTTATGTTATAGCGGTCAGGACTTGAAGGTTTCTCCTTAGAAGTTGCCAAATATTAGCATAGAGGCTTTTCTTATCAGCTTGTCTAGATTTGTCCGCTCCCTCATCCACGATACCATGCAATCTGAATCCATCCACATACACTACACTCCATCTGGCTGTTCGTATCTTTGCAACTCAGCACAAAAATAATGACTCTTCATAATAATCTTACTATTAAATGTATCTCTCTAAAAGCCATTCAGTCTTTGTGCATCTGTCATAGTACCCTGACATCATACAAAACAAAAAAATGTTTCTTATGCTCTGCATGTTCATTTAAGAGCACCGTATTTGTAGATAATCTTGTTGTATAACTTAATTTTGACAACTGTGTACATTAAAGCTTTTGGATGTAATGGATAGCGTATTTCATTTACATATACAGTGGTTTAATATATAGAAAGATGCTCTTTTGCAAATGCCAGAAGGGAAAGCAAATGAAGAGAAGTGGAGAGAGCAAAGAATTAGATTTGGAGGGAGGAATAGAGAATGATGAAGGCAGGGAGAGCTATGCCGAGAACCTGCCAGCCAGCACAGACACTGATATGAAGTGACAGCTCTGTCAGTTGCTGACTGGCTCTGACAGACATGCTGCCTGCATGTGGGCCAACAAGTCGGGCCTCTGAGCTTCTTTGTTGTTTTCTGAGGTTATTTATTTATTTATTTATTTATTTGTCCTTTCTTTTCATCATTTCTCATGTCCCCCATTTTCTCTCTCTGTTGCTCTGTGTTTCTCACTGTCCTTATCTCTTTTGCACTATTTGGACAGGATTAGTTTTTCAAACGGCTTGAGTCAAATTATTAACAGAGGACATCTGTGATGTCATGTACTGATTCAGATGGGATTTGGATCTCTGTAGTTTTTTGGATTTCTGTCATTTTACCCAGAGAAAGTCTAAATCCATAATGAAGGTGCACCAGATAGTGATATAGCTCTAGTTATGATATTAGACAAGTATCATATAATTAATGATTTTTAATAGAGCCCGACCGATATGGGTTTTTTGGGGGCCGATGACGATACCGATATTAGGGAGTAAAAAAGACCGATGCCGATATGTCAGCCGATATTCTTTATGTGTAGGCTATATTATAGTACAGTATAGTCAAAACTTTGGACACTTTTCCCATTCGTTTGTGTCCAAACTTTTGACTGGTACTGTATATAGAATACAGTATATAGCCTACATAAACATAATATATATACATAAACACATTTTTTGCAATGATAACTCAAATGTGGTGATCAAACACTTATAATGATGTGACAAACATAGGCCTATGTAGTGGAGGCAGGGTATTTAACATTTTAACAATAAACTTTATTATACAAAATGAGTCTGACATCAGTGCACTTAACAGTAAACTTCACTTCACTTATTATAAATAACTTAGTAAATTCCGTTTTTATGACTGGATTCCGCGATTCCGTTCATGTTAGGGCCCTACTAATGTAGCAAACTAATATGATAAGCTCATTGTTATGGTATAACTTTTAAAACAATAGAACAACATATAGTCACCTCAATATTAAAGTATTTCAATATTTCAGCCTCAGTATTTTAGATGATTTCATTTTAATGTCCTTGGTACTGATTCACATTCCTGAATCTTCAGTCCTTTTGTCACTTGTGAACATGGAACTATGGACAATAGAACACCTGAAAAGACTGGTTCTCAGCAGAATGACTGAATTATTTTCAATTGAATGAAAGTCATTGTGGCGTGACAGACTGCCACAGGTGTCTTTACATGTGTATAAACTGTAGGGCTTCAGTTTGAAACAGTACAGTATCACTCTGATCTGTTCTCAGAAGGTCATCTCTTTGTCCTTCTTTCCTCTTTTCAGCTGTGAATCAGAGCTCAATTACACTTTTTAGTTACCCTATCAAGCCAGTGCTGTATTTTCTCTAAATCTTGCAATCACTGACCATGTATTTGCCTGTCAAATTTCAAACTTAAACATTGGTTTTTCTGTGCTACACTGCATTACAACAAAATAGTTTCTTACACTAGCACTAACTTAAGCTTGCAGGCTTTCTCCCATAACATTAATTCTCACAGTCTTAGCCCTGGATGAAAGCTCCAAAATGTAGTGTAGATAATGTCTCCATTCTATAGGTGACCTAGCTGCTTAATTGATTTTTGCATAGCTTTCCAAGTAGGGTTACTTCTTGTTGTTGTTGTGCTTCTCTCTCTCTCTCTCTCTCTCTCTCTCTCTCTCTCATTCTCTTCTGACCAGCTCATTTATCATCCACTCTGGCCCACACCTTACTAGTCTCTATTTGGAGCAGAGCAGTTCATTATTTTAGCTAGTTTTACACCACGCTGGGCCACGAGCCTGACAGCAAGCTAGTCCCAGATGGATGACTTGAGACGGATCAGTGCCGTAATTGTAATTCTATACTGTGCAGACAAATTGAAGGTTTAGAATATGTGTGAAATGTCAGAGGCCTAACAGTGTTCAGGTTACAGATTTGTGGCCATTGAAGCCCATGCACAGGTTATTAGGTGTCACTGACTGAAACAATTGGTGTAAATTAAGTCTTCAAGGGATATTAGGACCATATCGATTATCACGAGGTTTTTGATTTATTGGTCTTAGTCAGTAATGGATACATTTATCAGCTGGTATCAGATATTTAATTTTGAATGCTGCTTTTCAATTATTATTTATTTTTTGGATCTTATGTTTATGTTATAGGGATCTTACTTTTCCCATCATCTACTGTACTATTTTCAACAAAAATTGCAACAAAAATTTAACCAATATTTGTTGAGCATTTTCTTATGATGCAAGTCCCAAGACTTTTTTAACAAACATGTCTGCAGTCTGTACTGCGCTTTGTGAAATTCACTATAACTTGAATTAAGAAATTAAACTAGGTAACTATGTAGGGCAAGCAAGATACTGCCAAACCAACAAGGGCAGGTTTATGCAGGAATCACAGCTTTTCCAAATGTAAACATCTAAAATGAATAAATAATAATAATGAATAATATTTTTTATGAAAGCTCCAAAATGTAGTGTAGATAATGTCTCCATTCTATAGGTGACCTAGCTGCTTAATTGATTTTTGCATAGCTTTCCAAGTAGGGTTACTTCTTGTTGTTGTTGTGCTTCTCTCTCTCTCTCTCTCTCTCTCTCTCTCTCTCTCATTCTCTTCTGACCAGCTCATTTATCATCCACTCTGGCCCACACCTTACTAGTCTCTATTTGGAGCAGAGCAGTTCA